TTTCTTCTTTAATGTTACCTGTCTTACTTTCGTTCGTATTTCGTATGTCCTCCGGGATCTTCGTCCGTATTTTCTTCCAAAATGCAGTTTATTTGTCGTCCAGTTGCCCTTCGGTGTTCATTCTGGCTGTTCTGCCTCGTTGCGGTGCATGTGCGTTGTTTCCTCGTTGACATTGCTGCATGGCTGGATGACCGGATGGTAGTTTTGATGGTATCGATGAAGTGCTGCTAGTATGCACTGATGCTGCCCCTTATGTCTGTTGCGAGGTTCAGCTGAGGAAGCATGTCTGCTAATGGTTCATGATCGAATATTCGTCCAATAGCCGGTGGTTTCTGAGCCTTTCTAACCCGATCTTCTTCAGTGAGATCAATTTTGACTGTGGAGCAGACTAATCTCTGTTCTGACCCCGTACAGACGCCGTTTTTTCAATGATATACACAGCTGTTATTACGTGTTTTGTATCCGCCAACTCATAGTCGATTTCCATAATACCGTTCCATTAGGGCTCCTACACGTGAATGTGAAGCTGTTCTTTTCTGCAAACACTACCAGGCCGGTGCTGCTTTCCTTTCCATCTCCACTTCCAAACCGGCCGATGAAACGCTAGGATTTGGTTGTTTCTTTTCTCAGTACTGCGTATTGAAATTTGGACTACAGCGTACTTGGATATTTTTTTCGCATTGCGCTTTCCAGTTTCTTCTAGAATTTCTCCATTTCTTTGTTGTCCGCTTGCTATGTTGGGCTGTAAGCTTCGATTATCTTTAGTGATACTTTCTTGTCCACTTGCAGAATTAGTACGGCGACACGAGGTGTCGAGGTCGCAACTGACTACGAGCGGCATGGCCTTTTTATCAGATGAATTCTACGCTACCTGTGCGAGCGAGGTTTGAGTATGCTTTCTCAAGGAATGTTTGATCGCCGTTGTTTCACTGTGCGATAAGTTCTGCTAATTTTCAGGTTTCGCACACGCCGAGAACATCCTCTGATCTTCTTCGCCTCAGTAATGTAGATGCTTAACAAGTCGGACGACAAAGTTTTAAAATTGTGACTAGCCACGAAGATCCTGATCATATCCTTTAGCCGTTTTACAGTCGCGTCTTGATCCTCTCGGTCGTAAATAATTCCACTCTTGGTAAGCCGACGAGATTAGTTATCCTTACGACCCCAGTATTTTTCTGCGCATAGCGTATTTTGGCGAGTTTGGTAGGAGTTCATTCATGGTGCGAACCTTTTTGAATTGTAGCCTTCATCCTCGACATCTTTCAGTTAGCTCATCGAGATCCAGAAGGAAGATGGTTGTTTAGCTCTTGGTCGCGGCAGGGTTCGCTGAACGGTATCGTAGTTTACCGTCCTACCCAACGGGAGAGGGCCTCCTTCAGTTTGTCTAACTGAATCACCATGTAGAGGGATCGCAACGGTAATAAAGGTAATCAGTTCAACATCCTTACAAACGCACAAATTGTTGTCAGCAGAAACAAGGAATCATTTAAGGCCTATCTTCTGCCGAACAGAACCTCCATTCTGTCTTCCTCATAAGATATTTCGACCCAAAGGTGGAAGACAAACCTGCTCGAAAACAGTTGGCGTTAAATTTCTCGTTTTATCCCTGTCTGTCACACGTATGCTGTATATTGCGCGTTTCGCGTGTACACTTTGGTGGTGCTGTATGTTCTGTGAAGGTTCTGACGTTTCGGGCCGTCTTCAGAGTGTGAGACTTGTACGGCATCATTTTCGGTAGAGCCGAATTGGGTGCACAAGTGCGGGACCGTCAATCATAGGGGTCAGTCAGGCCCGCATAAAACTGACGCTGTGCAAGACTCACTGTAACTGAAAACGCACCGCATTTGGTCTGAATCGTCAGTATCTATACGAATATTTATAATTAAAAATTTTATGCATTATTTTCCCGTTGTGGCATTCGGAAGTCTTGTTATTTTCCATATAAAAAACTCGTAAACAAATTTTTTTAGATTTTATCATTGTACAGTAAGAAATGAATTTTTCCTTCAAGTCGGAAACATTACCCTGATGTTCTGGGGTAGACTCCACTAATGGGAGCTTTCGATACTGATGTTAAATATGTATTAAAATATAAACACCTGATTTGTTTTCTTACACTACATTTTTACCGTTAAAATCCGGTATCATTAATTTTAATATTAGAATATTTTAAATTTTATCGATGTCTTTTGCTGCTTCCTGTGTTTTTTTTGGGCAGCTTGATGTAGCCTAAGTTGATAGCTTCTTCATCTTCATCTTCATCTTCCATCGCCGCTTCTCCTTTCGGGTCGCGGAGGCAGACGCGTCAGAC